CACACACACACACACACACACACACACACACTCTCACACACACACACACACACACACTCTCTCTCACACACACGCACGCGCGCACACACATACACACACACACACACACACCTGGTCATAGATATGGAAAAAATAAGATTTTTATTGTTTTAATAGTCTTAGTCTCTTCTGCTCACTAAATCTGCAGCTATTTGATAAAAAATACAGTAAAAACAGTAATATTGTGAAATATTATTACAATTTTAAACAGCTGTTTTCTATGTGAATATGTGTTAAACTGTAATGTATTTCTGTGATCAAAACTGTATGTTCAGCATCATTCCTCCAGTCTTCAGTGTCACATGATCTTCAGAAATCAGTATAATATGCTGATCAGCTGTTCAAACATTTCTGATTATTATCAATGTTGAATGATACACTACCCATTCAAAAGTTTGGGCTCAGTAAGATTTTTTTTCTAAAGAAATGAATACTTTTATTGCATAATGCTGCTTAAAATTGATCAAAATTGACAGTATAGGCATTTATACATAACGTTTCAAAATATTTCTATCTCCAATATTCCAATACTTCTATTCATTAATCAAAGAATCCTGAAAATAATGTATCATGGTTTACACAAAAATATTAAGCAGCAAAAACGGTTTCCAACATTATAAATAAGAACCATTATTAATAATTGAGCACCAATAATAACTGACAATAAGTGAACATAAAATCAGAACATTAGAATGATTTCTGAAGGATCATGTAACTCTGATAGAAAAGAGTTGTTTTAGATCATAATATTCACATATGTATTGTAATATTTCACAATATTACTGTTTTTACTGTATTTTTTTATCAAAATATGATGAGACTGTTTAAATGACTGTATTTTGTTTTCTGTGCAAACTATTCCTTTAATTCAGAACTAATATATATATAGATGCAATGTATTTTATATTTATATAGCACCTTTCAAAACAAAGTTACAAAGTGCTTTATATCTGAAAAAGTCCTTAAGATTCTAAATGGAATCTTTCTTTCAAAGATTGAAAATCTAATAATTAATTAATTAATTAATCCCTTTCTTACACCATATTTTGAAACGCATTTCTAACGTATTTGGTTTAAAGTCTGAGTCATATGTAAATAAAGATTCTTTACTTTATACTCATACCAAATTTGAAGAGTTGCCCTAATCCATTGATTTTTTTGTTTTTGATTAGATTTTCATCTGCAATTGTCGCTTGTATAGGAATCTCCACCGAAGGACAGTTTCTGAGTCAAAAATCACACCTAGGTTGCGGGCCTATTTCCGGACTTTATTAGATAAGGACTAGTACTACTAGAGCCACACGGGGTAATCACAAGCACCTCTGACTCGGAGTCATTCAACTGCAAAAACATGTTTTGGACATCCAGTTTTCATCCTCAGGACATAATATGGGACGTATCAATAAAATGAGATCTGACGGACCTTCAGCCTCGTGCCTTTGGCTCCGGATGAGTCTGCTCTCTCACTTCCTGCCAGATCAACCAGACTGATCTTGCTCACCTGAACGGAAGACGAGAAACCAGACTGAGCGCAGAACAGCAACAGACGAGTGTTTTTTTATAATGCCCGACACACACCTTCTCTGTGTCCAGACTGGTCATGCTATCATGTCGACGCTGAGCGAAGAGGATGGTGAAGACCGCATGTGAGCGACTGCTGGTCTCGTTCATGTTAGTAGCAGCAACCGTCCTTAAAGTAACAGAAAACATAAATATATTTCATCAAAGTAATACATGTAATCAGAACAAGAATAAGCTAGTCGGTTACGAAATCAAAACAACATTATATAATATATATATATTAATGTGTTATTATATTTATGAAAGTAACGTGTGTAACAAGATCCCACAGCTTTCATTCATGCACACCTAAACACTTGTGCGATATGAGTTTTGTGGAGAAAATGATAGTTTCGCAAAGACAAAAATCTTTCGAGCGCACGGAAATCAATTTTGCATTTAAAATACGTTTTTGGATGTGTGCAGACCTTCTCTTTTGCACGTGCAACGTCTCACTAGCTTGCTCACCTGATGCCCCCCTCAGTGCTCGCTAAATGCCAACAGCTCGCGTGCTCAACACAACCCAGCGTTACAATGTGCCATAATTCCAGCCAATCAGAGACCGAGGCTGCTAAAATGTGACTGGCTGCCTTGGAAAAAAATATAATCAGAATATCAACTTGCGTAATAATTATGCATGCACTGTATTTTTCCTCTTCTGCTGTCGAGGTAATGCAAGAAATGTTGTGATTGGTTGTCAAGGCAGCCAATCACAATTTAGCAGCCTCGGTCTCTGATTGGCAAAATGCACTTTTGTGCGCTCAAAATATGATCTTTCGCGCGCAGAACTGTGGCAGAAATGTAAGCCCATAAAAACGCATCATTGTCTACAATTGTCTAGAATAATTATTTCAGCCCTACCTCACACAAGTATGCAAACTCAGACATATAGCTATGTGAGCGCAATTAAAAAAACGTGTTAACTACTACTGTCATACTAGAGCAAGTGTTTAAAGAGAATCTCACTAAGCTAGTTAAGTTAGTCAGTAAACTGTCAACATGTTTATAGCCTGAATAACACATCTAGTTGGTTATTAGAAGGTAACTACCACCACAGCAATGTGAGAAATCATGCTGGCAATACCTCAGCATTCTTGCCTAGATTTTTGTTCATGCACGGGCCTTGTGTTTCTGTCCTTAGCTAGTGATTTTGTTTTTATTATTATCGTTACCGGTAAATGTATTTATTTTTGTTATCTGCACTTCTAATAACGCTGCTATTTCAAAACTGTTCTGCACACAGTGAAAAGCAGCTTTGTTTTGCTTCATTTGTCTGCCTTTAATTTGCATCTTATTTGAATGAGCTCATTGAGCAAACAGAATGACATGCTTTTTTTCAATTAAATGCTGAAATTAATAATACCTGGCTTTGTTGCCAGTGTCCATGAGATCGGCAATATCACTGTAGTTGGTAACTGCCATTTTGGAGAGGTCTTCTACGTAAGGGCCCATTATCGGGTGCTCTCTGACCCTCAAGGACCCTTTGCTTTTTGGGTTCAGCAAGTCCCGAACCCGCTCACAGTAAATCTCCATATATGAAACCTAAAAAAATAGACATGGAATGATATCAGATCTTTTATTGACTGTATAATGCATAAGGAGTCGCTCATTTTATTTCAGAAACTGTTGTTTAATCTGAACTCGCATGCTTTATGAGGCCATTCTCGCAGTTCTTGTAACACTGTAAATGCACTCGAGCATACCTCAACAGAGAAGGACAGGTCAGGGTCGGTGTTATCTGCCGTCTGTCTGAACAAATCCTCACACATCTATGGGGAAAAAATGAAACACAATGAGAGAGATGAGAGCTCAACTCGATTCAATCCAAGTATAGAATTAACCAATAACTACTTCAAGTAGTTGAAGTAATTTCTATTAGTACCTCTGACGAGCCATCCATTGTGTCGTGCTAATTTTGTTGTGTTGTGGAGATTTCACTGTGTTGTGCACTACTGGGCCACCGTACAGCTCTCAGCTTTCAGATTTTTGTCATTTTGTAAGAAATTCAAACAATGAACACTGTTGGTGGCTCTTTAACGTAGGCCTGGGCGATAAAACGGTATCGATATGTACACCTTTTTCGATAACGATATAAAACATGTTTGATATAGTGCACGATATAGGCACGTGCTATGAGTGACGAAAGACAGCACACACAAACATGAACATGAGTGCTGTGCCTGTGACGAGGACATTGTGAATAATAAAAATGAATATTAGTCGAATTTAAAATAAACATTTGCATTTGAATGCAAAAATAGTACAATCAAATGTTAG